TGTGTATTTTTAATAGCCTCATTTGCAAGAGTGTGGCTAGGCACAGCCTCTGTTTGAGCCTACTCTAGGTTTCTACTGCTCTGAAAATTTGTCAGCTTTCTAGCTGCAAGTGTATTCTCCTTCTGAGCTGCTGTAATGTTTTAGGAACCACTCATTTAGCAATAATAGTTCAGAAGTCTTTTGTTTGGTGGTCTTGAGCTTGTATTACACTTTCCGTGTGGGTCCCTGCTCAGATGCAAGCTTCTGGAGGCCAGGGACTGTCTTGTTCCCTTTAGCAAGACACTGGCAAATTCAACGTCTGGTGAGGACTTGCTCTCTGGTTATAGATGATGACTTCTCACTGTGTCCTGGTGGAAGAGACTTTCAGCCCCTTATATAGGGCCTAATCCCATCCAATGAGGGCCCCACCCTCGTGACCTCATCACCTCTTAAAGGTCCCACTCCTAAAACCATCACTTCAGGGATTAGGATTTCAGCATACAAATTATAGGGGAAGATGAACACTGAGACCATAGCAAAAACACTGGTTTAGAATGGTGTTTATGTCCAGTTCTATGTGAGCTGCTTGGGAGTAGAGATCACTACTTGTTCTTTTTTCCTTTCCCCTATTGTGAACACATCTCCCAGCCCTAGTGGGTTCTTCGTGTGTATTTGTTGAATACATGGGTACGTGGCTCAGCCTTGATTAAGACTCCTCCCATGACAAGTGATAGAGGTGTTCCTGAGCTGGCTTGCTTAAAGGAGATTTTATGATAGGAGGCAGGGGTGAGGCTGAGAACCTAGAGAGGGAGTGGTTGGAGTCTGAGATGGAACCAGAGAGACCCTGGATCCTCTTTGATCTACTCAGTGTGCGGGCTGTGTTCTCTCTGCAGTTTGGATTGCTGGTGTCGACGATGCCTTACCCTAAGAAACTAAACCTAAATGTGACTCTGGAGACAGAGTCTTTTGCCTCAGTTCTTTTTTATTTTTATACAGGAGGGTGAGAAAGCAGGAGTTTATTAAGAAGACAGAAAAACCCCCACAGCAGGAGGGGACCTGAAAGAGGGTTGCCCCTCCATTCTTAAATCCATGGGAAAGAGACTGTGGTCCAGCTTGGACCTGGTGCCACCATTGACCAATCATCTGTCGCCAAGGGCAGTGCAGGCGTCACACAGCAGACACACGGCTCCCAGGAGCCTCCCCGTGTCCATGGCAGAGTGGAGGGTGGCAAGAGAGAGGCATGACTAAAGGGTCCACCCACTGTGAACTGGGAGGACACTCTCAAAAGCTCTCCGTTCCACTTAGCAGGTCTGCTGACTGGACATGGGCCCCACACAGGTACCAAGGGCAACAAGGAACCTTCTGCCTCCACTAAGTCTTGATGGCTTTTCCTGTCCCACTTCTCTCTGAATTCACCCAGCCCTTTCAGATTGGGGGCGTTCAGCGGGGTACGGTCCCACAGGCAGCTTTGGCAAGTTGTCTCACACAGCCAAATGCATCCTTTGTGAACACTCAAACTGAATCAAGTATTTTCCAAAAGTCTACAGGAAGTCAGCTTTGCCTGGCTCCTTGCCTTCCACCTGGCTCAAGGTGGGGGGGAGGGGGAGGGGACGGAGAGGGGATGTGGCTGGCAGCAGCTGTGTTTATTTGCCTTTGGTGGCTCAGGAGGGTGTATGGTTCCCCTCAGGCTGTCCAACATCTGGGTCTCTAGATCAAGCTGGCTTCTGGCCAGGCCAGTGACAGTTGAGTGAATCTGAATAAAGCCAGTTAGGGTGGGCAGCTGTCGAGGCTGACTGATTTCCAGGTCACATGGACAGCACGCCCAGCCCCAAGGAATGTCAGACCTGGAGGAGAGCTTGCAGATCACTCGGCACCTGGATAAGAGGAGTGAAGTTCCAATGGTCATGTGGGCTAGACGAAGTCATTAGCTGCCGAGCAGACTCTGGAACCCAGGCATCCCAACTGCCTATCCAGGAAATTTTTCACCCAGCTGCTCCCTCATCCTGAAATACCACCCCTGTCTCTCTCTGAGCCTTAAAATCCCTCTGTCTGGGCAAAACGTTTCAGAGAGGCTGTACCTGCCTGGACCCATGACTTCCTGGTTGGGTAACTGAGTACAGCACCAGGGGCGGGATGAGGGTGGTAGTGCTCGCCACATGGAGTTGTCAGGAGGATGAAGCACAGGAAGACATATGACCTCCTTCGTGCCTGGCCCAGAACGGGAACTCAGTAAATATCAGGTGTTATTTTTCAACAGCATTTCAATGTGCGTTCTCAGAGAGTGGAGTTGCGACGGAGGGTCTCAGAATGCAGGTTCTAGAGAAGACTGCACCCCGAGAAGAGGCTTTTAGGGGAGGAGAGGGTTCTTGCAGATTCTTTGGGGCACTGCACTGGAACAGGGCTTCTCAAACTCCAATGTGCATCCAGATCTCGGGGGGCTTGGGAAACAGCAGATCATGTCTGCAGGCTTGAGGTGGGGCCTGGAGTTCTGCATTTCTAACTAGCTCCCTAGTGATGCCAAGGCTGCTGGTCCTTGGGGACCACAGCTGGAGTAGTAAGGGCCTACAGAGTGCAGGCTTAACCTAATGCAAGATTTAACCCTGACTGTGAAAGAAAGAAATGTGCCACTCGCCTGTGCCGGCTTCTCATGTTTAAATGGTTGGTCTGACCTCATTTCTAATATACTATTAAGAGTTTATGAAACACTTCATCAAACTTGAATACGATCTCAGTGCCGAGATGGGGATGTTCTCCGCAAAGCATTCTCTCTCCCTGCTAGGAAGTGGCTTCACTATGACCTTATCACAGACCAGCTCATTAGCAAGGATAGCTCTATGGCCGCTTACCGACCACAAGTCACCTCACTCACAGACACCTGCTCATCATCCATCCTCTCCTTCCTTACTAACCAGACCAGGCTCCAATTTTACTTGAGGCAGGAGTGTATTAGTATAACCTTATTCCCCAGGATCTCTTGCTGAAAGGGATGGCCAATGAGATGGAAGGCAAAGCCATTAGGAAGGACTTCCAGAAAAGGTTTTTAAAGATAACTTACACAGATGGCAGGTAATCTTTCCTCTTATTTCCTACCTGGAATACATACACAATGACTGGAGCTTCAGCCGCTGTCTCAGAACAAGAGGCAACATAAAAAATGGAAGCCACGTGATAAGGATTGTGGGGCAGAAAGATAGAGCTGAGAACCATTGATGGTGTCACCGACCCACTACACAGGCTGTTTCCTGCTTAACTGCACACTTCCTTTACATTTAAAAAAAACACCCCAATTTGTTTTAGTCTCTGCTATTTGAGTTTCCTGTTATGTGAAGGCTGCTGAACCCAATGCTGTTGCTAATTGACACCATCAGAGCAGATACTGTTTGACGGGGCCGACACGGGCTTACAGCTGTGTCTGCCACCTTCTGACGACTCTTTGCAGGGCTCACCAGTGGCATAGGAACGAGGGGACCAGCTTACTGGGTTGAGAGTCAGAAGCCCAGAGTTTGTGGCTCGGCTTTGCTATTTCCTAGCTGTGTGGTTGTGTCCTCTGTAGGCTTCAGTCTCTTCACCTGTGCAACGGGGATAAAGGATGACGGTGGCCAGCATGGTGCTGAGGTGGAGAATTCATACCACTGGTGCTGGGGTATCTTAGGATGATGGTGTGAGGACATGAAGCGAAGGCCAGTGCTGATGGGGCAGGGAGGAGACGCACAGGGTGAGGTTTGCGCTCTGACTGCCGTGTGCCTTCTTGTGCTCTCTTCAAGGGTGCCCACCGCGGTGTGCTGAGGACAGCAGAGCACTGCTGCCTCTGTTGCGATCACAGGGTTTGGACTCAGTGCCCCTTTCAACATTCATGGTCTGTGAATGTGGTTTTGTCTGGAGAGAGGCGGGGGCAGCACAGTAAGCTTTCAGTGTGACCCTGAGAAACCGGCTTCAGCGTCTTCCTTCACCAGGTCCTGAGCTCAGTGCTGAGGCTTGAGAGGTAGCCCAGGGGACGTCTCGGCTCCCTCCATGCTGAAAGCCAAATGACTCTACCCCGGGGCTTGCTGTAAGCCGGCCCAAGGATCCTAGTGCTCAATAATGAGTATTAGCCAGGTGTGGTGGCAAATGCCTGTCATCCCAGCACATTGGGAGGCCAAGCAGGAGGATGAGGTCAGGTGTTTGAGACCAGCCTGAGCAACATAGTGAGACCCCCATCTCTACCAAAAATTTAAGAGTTAACTGGGCGTGGTGGTACACACCTGTAGTTCCAGCTACTCGGGAGACTGAGGTGGGAGGATCACATGAGCCCAGGAATTTGAGGCTCCAGTGAGCTATGATGGTGCCCCTGCACTCCAGCCTGAATGACAGAGTGAGACTTTGACTTTTTGAAAAAAAACAAGCCAAAAATTAAAACAAAAAACAAAACAAAATGAGCGGTTTGCTTTCTCCTACTGACTGGAGCCTATAGTCAGATGCTTGAAACCATGGTGGAACCGTCCACACCTTTTCTGTCTAAATCAGAGACCCCTTTGTTTCTCTCAATCACCCTCCAAACCTGAAGCCATCACGCTTGGACCTTCCCTTCCCCCCCACCCCAGTCAGTTATGTTCAACCCCTGAGGGTTTCTGCTCGTGCACAGCTAGCCGGTTCCTGGAAGACAAAAGGGGTATCTGTACCGTGAACTAAAAATATCAAGGGATGCGCTTACCTCCAGCACGGGGGGTGGCGGCTAGAGACCTGAAATAGGACTGCTCAATAGGGGCCTCTCGCTGTTTGGCCCAGTGGGTCTCTATTTTTCTGCCCAGCTGCTAGATGTTTTAAAACATGCCTGCCCCTCCTTACTGTGGCCTGTTCCTTGATTTTAAAATTGGATATGATTGAAATCATGCCTGTCCGGGTGCACATGTTATACCCAGTAAGTTTTCTTATTCATGTATTGTTCTATAAAAGGCAACCAGCTCTGTGTGTTCTTTCTGGTCTTCCTATTTTTTTTTTTTAATAAAGAATTATAACTAAGTTTTTTTTTTTTTTAAATGCAGAAAGAATATGTGGGAGGAAAAAGGCAACCAGGACAAAAGGGTCTGCAGTGACCAGAGACACTTCTCGAAGTCCCAACCCTGAGTTCTCTTCCTCAGCCTCAACTCTAAGACTAAAAGTGAGCATGTTATTGCATGTACTTTTCTCGGAAGAAAGAAGGGGGTTGTCCAGTCTGCTTTGGGCTGTCGTCATCAAGTCAGTGAGACAGAACTAAGGAAAACCAAAGATGGTTCAGCTACCACAAGGGGCTCTCGTTCTGCAGCTGGTGGATGCCGGGCGGTGGGCTGCGGGCAGAGGTGGGACTGGCTGAGGTGACAGTTTGCATCTTAATGGTGACTTGGAGAAGCGTCCTCACCACCCCAACAAGGTAGCACACAGTCTGAACAAGGCCAGCCTCTTGCCAGATGGCATTTTTGCTATTTTAACCTCAGGGCCTCATAGAGCTAGCACACTGGGGCTTTGTGAGGCAGACTGAGGCCTTCTGGGAGGCTCAGGTGTTGAGGCAAAATGCCCCAGATGTGCTATCATGCATGACAGCCTAGTTGGCACAGCTGGCAAGCCCACTGGGATGTGGGGACTGGCTGTGGGTTTGCTGAGTGAGACCAAAGCCTTCATCCAAATTCTGTCCATGAAGGTGGACTTTCTGAGATAAGATGTTCCATCAATGTCTGCAGGGACCCACTTGCCCTCTTCTGTGTGGGGGCTCTGGAGTCACAGGTAGCCTGTAAAGGGTCCCAGAGACACCCCCCCCAAGTAGACAAGGTGTCAGTGGTCACTCCAGGTAGGTTATTAAAGAACAGACAGCATTTTCCTCCCTCCCTCTCACCATTTCTATCTCTCGTTTTTGATTAAACGAATAGCATCAGTGATATCACCATGTAGGAAACACTGTGCCTTGGAGACCACATGAGATGCAAAGTCTCAGCCTATCATGGACGAGGAAGGGAACTGGGGTCTGGAATTCCAGCTCAGCATAGATGTATCTTAGCTGGTTGTCGGAGTCTAGAAGAAGAATTAGTCAATTCTGCTTTTGTGGTTTCTTTTCCTGTCTCTGGCAAATACTTTCGCTAGTTCACTTAACAAGGGCCCTTTGCCTTAATCTGGGGGACGGGGGGGAGGTGTTCATGGAAATAGTGGATGAGCATGGCTTCCTACAGTGAAATGTGGAGAGCATTCTTTGATTAAGAGCAGAACCCCTTTTCCCCAGAAAGTTGTTTCTAGGACAGGGACTGGGTGCTGACACATGATGACATGCCTGACGTGTCCTTCTCTCCCTGCCTTTGCAACAGCTCTAAATAGGGCCCATGCCACACAAGTACCTCATTTAACACTACTTCCCTTGCAGGAAGTCATAAACACTGGCTGACTGTCAAATGGTGTGGAAGGCCCCCACTGACGGGAGACTCAGCCTACCCACAGATGGACTGTGCGTGGGAAGCCTGTTTCGTGGTGTTGGAAGGTGACGTCATCACCTACGACAGCAACTGGGTTAACTGGATGGCTGCCGGGAGAGTGCCAGGTCAAGAAAGTGGAGCCCCCCCAGGGCACAAATCAATTAGGGTACCGGATCTCAAATCAGGCAAAGTGGGGACCAAAGGGAGGCCCAAACTTTACCTGTGCAATATCCACTTGTATACCTAATCTTGAATTGTACCCTACATCTTTAAAATAAAATATAAAAAAAGAAAATCCATTGATCATATATGTGTGAGAATATTTTTGAATTCTTATTGTTTCATTGATCTATATGTCTATCTTTATTCGGTATTATAATATCTTATTTTAGCTTTATAATAAATTTTGAGATCAGTTAGTCTTAGTCTTCTTATTTGGCTTCTTTTTCAAAAAGTTGTTTTGGCTATTTTTGTATACATTATGTAATCATCTTATAGAAAATGACTGCTGGAATTTTGTTTGGATTTGATTTGAATTATAGATAAATTTTGGGAAAATTGCCATCTTAACAATATTTAGCATCCCATTTTGTGAACACAGTATATCTCTTCATTTATTTAAGTCCTCTTTAAATTTTTTCTCAGCAATATTTTAGTTTTCAGTGTACCAGTTGTGTCTTTTATGAAATATATCCCTACCTCATATTTTTATGCTATTAGAAACAATATTATCTTCTAAATTTTAACTTTTTATTACTAGTATACAGAAATATAATTGACTTGTAAATTTTAACCTTGTATCCTACAGCCTTGCTAAACTCACTGGTTGGTTCTAACAGCTTTTTAAAAATTCCTTAGGATTTTTTCCATAGATGATAAAGTTGCCTGGGAATAGAAAGCTTTCTTCATTTCTGATCTGTATTTCTTTTATTTCTTATTCTTCCTTTATTATACTGGCTGGCATCTTCAGTACCAGATGGAATACAGAAAACACATTTTTGCCTCATTCTCAATCTTGGGAGGAAAGCATTCAGTTTTTCACTATTATGTAAGATATTAAGCTATAGAATTTCATTGATGCCCTTTATCAGGTGAACCAAATTTCCTTTCATCTCTAGTTTGATGAAACATTTTATCAAGAATGAATGTGGTATTTTTTCAAATGTTTTTTCTTCATATATTGAGACAGTCTTGTAGTTTTTATTCTTGAGTTTGATAATATGAATTACATTGATTTTTGAACACTAAACCACCTTGTTTTTCTATAAACACTCCACTAAGTTATGATTTGTTATGGTTTTTATATATCATGAATTTGATTGACTAATTCTTTAAAAAAAACATGTCTACGTTCATGAGAAATGATGTTTTATAGTTTTTATTCTTGTAATGTCTTTTTATGGTTTTGGTATCAGAGTGATGCCAGCTTCATAGAATGAGTTAGGAAGTGTTCCATAGCATTTAATTTTTTGTTTAGTTGACTGCTAGTTTGGCCTTTCTTATAGTTGATACGTCTGTCTGTGTGGAGTGAGAATGTGGCTGTGAGAGAAAATGAACAGTACATTTGTTTGGGGGATAAATCATCATTTTAAATATGAATTATATTTGTTGAATATTTGGAGACAATGAAAGCCATTGTGCCTCCATTACCTGTAAATGAGTTGCTAATATTATCTAGTCACTAAATTGCTACAAATTGCTTGAGATAACATGTAAATCATTTAGCATTTTTTAGAACAGAGCTGGATCTCAGTAAATGTTAGTCATATTTTCTTACTAAAAAAACAAAACAAAACAAGTAGAGCCAATGTCATGCATGCATCAGCCTTGCAGGGAGGAGAGGGGTGCTGCTTTAGAGTCGAACAGACCTGGGCTTGGAAGCCCCACTGCCCCTTGCCATCTGTATGTCTTTGCCCAAATTGTTTTTAGGGAGGCTGAGTTTCCAGAGCAGTGACCAAAGTGTCGTCAGGGTTAGGTAATACTGTGCCTGAAGGTGGTGTAGCATGGTGCCCGGTGTGCAGTAAGGATGTCATCAAGTAGGAATCAAGTGCCCAGACAACGGGAGTTAGAAATCAGGGGTGGCACTCTTCAGATGTCAGAGGAGACAACTATTAGTTCATCTTTTTTTGTGTATGTGATGCTGCTCACTGTGTTCCAAGGTCACCTAAGTGAAGCCTCTCTTGGACTCCTTTCAGGGAAGCGAGGCGCTCAGTCCCCTAATCCCCATATTAAAGCCTGCTTGTCCCTGAGGTGGTCACCACAGGATGGCCCCATCAACAGCGCCCCCCATAGGGCTCCTGGACCACACATAGCCGAAGGGCCTGCTCAGGACCCCCAAGCAGGATGATGCAGCAGGGAACGGGAACGGAAGCTGGGGAAGTGAACAAGGGTCACACTGCCACCGTGGATGTGGATGCCACACTGTAACGTGGGGTTTTATGGGTAAGACAGGGGTGGGGGGCGCTGCTGCAGATGCCAAGCAAGGGAGTGGGGTGAGCATCTAGGTTTGGACAGATGACTCTGTGGGACTGGATGGTGGAAGCCATGGATGGTTGAGGCCACAGATAAGGAGGCCATGGCTGCCATCCTGGTGGGAGATGAGGGACTTAATTCAAGAGAAGTGATACTGAATAGGGTGGAGTAGCTTCTAGAATGAACCGGCAGGAGTTCACAATCAGCTGGAAGTGGAAAGAAGGTGACTTCTAGATAAAACCATTCACTGACAAAGGAAGCAGAGAGGAGGAACAGGATTGGAGTGGGAAGACTTGGCTTTGAAAATATGAAAACGCTCTGGGGTATATTGACTTTCAGGTGCTTGTGGGACTCAGATATCAGCCAAGGGGCTAACATTTTGCAAGGCCTAACTCTATGTCAGATACTGGTCTAAGCATCTTACCCATGTCATTTTAATTCTCATGACAACCCTAGAAAATAGGTGCCATTATTCCCATTTTACAGACAAGTAGCTAAGGCACAGTGAGATTCAGTAACTTGTTCAAAGTTACACAGCTAGTAAGGGATGAGGTCAGAATTGAACCCAGGGTCAGGGTTCAGGGCCATTTGCTCTTAATGTCTATGCTACACAGCTGCTTCGTGACATTAGGAAACTTGGGTCAGGCACTTAGGGCAGATCTGAGCTGCCGCCATAGACAGGCATCATCTGGAGCGACCCATGTGGAGGAGGTGGCTTAGCACCTGCAGAGAGGGAGCAAACTTGTCCTTTGGACGAATAATCAGGTTCAAGCACGCCTCCATGGAGCGCCCTTAGACCTGGGATACTGCAGAGGCCCACATGCTGTGTTTTAGGCATCACTGGACAAGGCCCATTAACTTCTCCAGGGTGCTTTGCCTAGGACCGGGGAGGCCACACAAAGGCACGCCAGAGGGCAAGTCCCAGTGCCAACCGACTCTCTAGGATACCAGTCCATAGCAGGGAGGGACAGAGTTGCAGGTGACCCAAGAGGAATCGGAACTGTTCTCCGAGAGACTGGCCCCAGCAGGACTTGCTTCAAGTTCACTCTTTCCTGAGGACTAAGCTTAACATTTTAAAATTCCTATATCCCCAAATCATGGAAAGCTGATGCTCCAAAGATGTTCTCCAAATTAGAGAACATCTAATTTAATGACCCCCCCTCAACTTTTCAGATGAGAAAACTGAGACCCAGAGAAATTGCCAAGGCCAAAATTGCCTAGTTAGACGTAGTGGCAGAGCCACCACTTCTATGTCATAGGATGGTGTAAACATGTAACAGACACCCCAGGCCGCCCCTTCATACTGAGACTGGAGCCATCACCTTTGTTTTCTTGGGAAAGGGCTCTCTCTTAGCAGGGCAATGACCAGTTTTCTTCCCTCTTGCCAGACAGAGCCTGTAGGGGACTCTATTAAACATTTTTCTTTTTAGTCCTTTTACTGCCCTACAAACTGCAGTCAAGTTCTGCAGATTAGACTTTTCAAAAGGCAGAGAGTGTTGGAAGTGAGGAAGGGGCTAAAGGAGGGAGAACCGTGGACTGGAACCTGAACACCTTTCTGAAACCACTCACCCCTTTTCTCCTCCAGCCACTGCTGCTCCAGGGACACCGCCCCAGTCCCACAGGTGGCCGCTTCTGGCCCTGACATCTGACGCAAATGCTATAGGACCCCAATGTCTGGGGGGCTCTGCTGCTGCTCCCCACCAAAGGCAGGAGCAAATGGGCAGGGGGGGCAGTGGGGGTGGGACTCAGCAATCCAGACAAAGTGGCTCCCTGTGGAGTATTCTCCCAAGTCCTTGCCACTCAGATTCCTGGGTGAGCAGCATCAGCATCCCCTGGAAGACATGCTAGAAATGCAGACGCTCAGGCCCCACCCAGACCTTCCTAGCTGGTCTCTAGGTTAACAAGATCCCCAGGGGACTCCTATCTAAGGTGTAATTTGAGTAGCCAGGTGCTGGGTTCCTCTACTGCAGAGCGATCATTCTATATTGCAGAACCAGGGATATGTTATCCAGCCACCTCATTCACCTGGACTGCAGACAGCAAGCAGTACAGGCCCCTCTACTTCCCATAAAAACCTTCCAAGAGACAAGTTAGTAATCAGAAGGCTATGCAACAAGGCTCTTGGCTCGATAGGACAAACATCAGGTTTCTCAAAAAAAGGAGATACAGGTAAGTACTCAAAAAGCAAAGTAGGCCAAGTGTGGTGGCTCACACCTGTAATTCCAGGGGAGGTGGAGGCAGAAGGATTGCTTGAGCATAGGAGTTGGAGACCAGTCTGGGTAACAAGACCTCATCTCTACAAAAAAATAAGCTGGGCACAGTGGTGTGTGCCTGTAGTCCCAGCTACTTGGGAGGCTGAAGCAGGAGGATTGCTTGAGCCCAGGAGTTTGAGGCTGTAGTGAGTTCTGATCATACCTCTGTACTCCAGGCTGACCTTGTTTCAAAACAAACAAACAAACAAACAAAAAGTAAAGTAATGGCTTTTGCTTAGGGGCAGTGACAATACAAAGGCCCCCAAGGCATTGATGCTATTAAGCCTGTCACCTGATCTGATCCTACTGAGATGATCCTGAGTGATATAACAAAAAGCAAATTTATATTCATTATTCCCTGATGGTTAAAATGATAGAGTTGGGCAATACATTTTAGATATCCTTATAAAAACATTAAGAAAAATCCTAGAAAACAAAAAGGTAATTTATGTGCAATAATACTTCCTTCCCCCCAATAATACCAGACACACAAGGTTGTCTTGAATCTCCACGGACTCTTACTACGCATTTTGCCAATGAGCTGACCTATCCCTCCCCCAGCTAAACCAACCGTTTTCTGTGCTTTCTGCTGTTGCTTGATAAAACACACAGGAGTCAAGATTTTTTTTTAAGACTTTTTTTGGTTTGTTTTTAAAGAAACTGCATACATCATCAGAGACAAACAATAATTTAAATACCATGCAGTTTCTGTATGTACAAAACCTAGGCCACAGAGATCCAGTTCAATTTGTATTCTCTATTTACATTGTCTTCTCATACAGCCATCATCTGGTAAATTAGAACCCAGGAGATCAGGGGGTTGTTGACAGTCACCACACTCACTCCTATACAAAGACAAACTATTTACAGACACCCGGAAGCAACTGGAAAATGCAACCAGTCTGGGGATTAACAAACAAATGGGGAGAGAAAGTCATTTAAGGTGACCTTTGCCCACTGGCTGTACGAAGGGAGAGCCTGAAATTCCACTCATCGAAGCAACACACCACGATTTTCATTCGGCAAATATAAATACATGTTCATAAGCAGGAGAAAAATAAACTCAGCGCTTTTCATCACATTTACCGTCACGTTGTTTGGTTTCTCTAATCTGACATAAAGGCTAAAGTTTAAAAAGTTTTACAGGGCTTTAAGGGCCGGTGAGGATGGATATATCAGTAATTTTGAAAAAGCAAGAAGGCCAATTGCAGTCTTTTCTGCCACTGATGGGGAGCTGGGGAGCGGGGTCAGGGCAGTGTCTAATTTTGAGAGGGAAACATTTAATTTGAGACATTTCACATTCTTTCTCTCAAGCTAATCCAAATGACAAAATGCCCAACCGGGAATTTATACACATAAAACAAACTTTGACTTGAAAACTGCAGCTTTTTCAAAAGAGATGCATTTTAGGTCATCTCGCTTCCCCCCCCCAATTAATGTCAAATTGTCATCTTGGAAAGTAACACAAATTGCTTCAGTTGTCGTGCCACTGTGGCAAAAAAAAGTAATTTGGGTAGATCTCTAGAAAGACCTCAAGGTTTCAAGAAAAGAAAGAGACAGCAGAGGGCCCAGCCTGTAGGCCATGAAGGTTGCTGAGCCTGTGTAAGAGCCATTTAAAATGGGCTTGAAATAGCCCACCCTGAAGGTGCAGGAACCTTCAGTGGCGTTGGAGGTGCACCCGTCACTCTGAGCAAGCGACTTCTGGAAAGGGGTGCTCTGCAGGAAGGGCGGCGGAAATCGTGTGCAGTTTCTTCCATGCACAGAGTGGACTGCAACACCAGAGCACTTTGGGCAGAAGCCCTGCTTGCTGGTTGGCTGCAGGGAGATCCCTTTGGGCTTTATGTTCCCAGGAATCTGAAGGGCCTGAGAACAAAGGCCAGCAGAGCTATGGGCCTGCATGGGAGGAGTCCTATCAATGGAATGAGTTTTCTTAGGACTCGTTCCTGGCCAGGGGAAGGCCTGACCATCATGCCAGGACACCATGTGCCCTTGAAGCCCACTGTAGTCAGAGGAAGCTCAGACTCAAGGCCTGGCCTGGCGGGCACCTCTGCCTGGTACACGTGCCCGCTTGCTGGCTGCCGTAGAGAAGTTCAACGAAAGAGCCCTACATCTTTCGTCATACCATTTGCACATTCAAATGTCAATAAGCCTTTCGGGAAGACTGTGTTTACAGTCACACTAAAATCCTGACCACATTTTCCCTGAACAATACCTCTCCCTGCGGCAGGAACTATTCTCAGATTCGATAGGCAAATTAAAAAAAAAAGAATCTAGTGACAGCATCCTCCTTGGCTGGGCAGAGGCGTGCTGGCTCCAGGTGGCAAGGAAGATCTGTGGCTGGAGGCACTGCCTAAATAGCTGCCCTGAGCTCTCCCCAGCAGCCATCTGGCTCCTGGGCTAGTGCCGGCCGTGGGAGCCGTTCATGCCTGCCGAAAATCCACTGGCCTCACTGATGAGTCTGAATCCCAAGAGTAACTTGCTCCCACACAGCTCACGGTGAGGACAGGTTAACTCATTTTGGGAAGGCCAAGGGGTACCTTTCTAAATCCTGGGTATGTGTGGTAGAGAGAAAACTGTCACTGAATGAGATTGGGATAATGACAGAGCCACTCCCGAGGGCCTGTGAGCTCTCTCAGGAAGAGAAGAAAAAACAAAACCAAAACACTGCAGTGGGCCCCACTGGGATGCTTGTTAGGGTTTAGTAAGGTCCTTCCCTCAGTGCACACCCCGCCCTCGGTGTCCTTATCAACTGCATCAGATAGTTAGACACACACTTCCAATCACCCTCACCAGCATCAGGAGGGAGAGGAAGGATTTTCTCTGGATTAATTGGAGCAGGGCAGGCATGGCTGGTGTTGGCCCGATTCGGGCACGGGCTGAATTCTGGGGATCCTCCATAGGAACTCTTCCGTGCAAAGAAAGGAGAAAAGAAGGCCATGGAATTGTTCTGGAGTACTGGCCCCTCAGGGCTGGAAAGCCAGTCTTGCAGGAATGGTTTCTGGCCTACACACATTGGTTCCATGCTTGCAACCATGGACACCCAAGCCATACAGTCACGGGCCCTGGGGCGCACAGAGAAAATGAACATTGGCCAAGCAGAGTTTCTGACCCCAGCCTTTCTGATCTCGACAGATTCCTCCTGCTCAGACTTACACTATCACAAAAGTACCTGAGCAATGGCTGTGTGTGTGCATGAATCACCCGTGACATTCGGCTCTCTGCACACAGATGGGCCGATTACTTTGAACCAAGCGGATGACAGCTTTCCCTTCTACACTGAGCTTCCTGGAAGGCAGCTCAGCTCAGGCTGAGGGGGTGGGATGGGGTCAGCCTTCTTCACCTGGAACACACACACTCCTAGGACCAAGAGGCAACCAGACTCCCCCAGAAACAAGCCCTTCCCTTTTGTTCACTGTGTGGGTGGTGCCTGGAGGGAAGGGATGGCCCGGGCAATGGAGAAGTGCTCCCTCCCTCTCGGCATCACCCTCCCAAGGGGACCCCAAGCCAGAAGCCACATCTGGAACCAGTACATTTGGCCAAGTCTAGAAGGACAACTAGACCATCAACTTTACAGAGGGCCCCCAAGCCAAGCCCGCCCCCCTCAGCTTTCTTTGGACTCAGGTGGCAGACACTTGTGAGGAAGAGGTTCGCTGGAGGCCAAACGAACATGGTGCCTGGGGGCCTGACCGGAGAGGATGAGGACCGCTCCACCTGTGCTGGAAAATCTTCAGTCAGGGCCCTGCTGGGGGTAGGACACGTCTTGGTGTCAGAAGTGGGGCCAGTAGCTTGAATCGCTGTGCAGTCACCTTCGCGTTTTCGCACATGGAATCCTGATTGTTTCCTTTTCTTTTCTTCTTCTTTTTAAAAAAGGCAGTTCAGAAGATTTACATCGTAATGGGGAAGTGAATAAATACCAGCACTTATGGTTCTTATAAATTTATGTTGTGAAGACAGCATAGCACTCAAGAGGAATTTGACTGTTAAGGTCGGTGAAACCTGGGAAAACAAATGATGAAATCAAGACCCAGGGGCTGCAAAGGTGTGGGATTCAACATCTAACCCTTCCATCCTCAGATTCCCTCCCACCAAAGGCACGTTCCCACAAGACCACCACCAAATCCATTTCTGGCTTTGGAATAGTTTAATCTGGAACTCCTCGGGGTCAAATTGGGCAGTCTTGGTGGCCTCCAGCCTGTGCCATCAGCCTGGATTCAGCAACTTATGTCTCTGAGTTTAAATATTCGGTAAGTCCTGTTTCTCTAGATGTTCCCCAAAGGACAAAGTCGTAAGAATGGAATCAACAGCTCTCTTGTTGCCTAGCCATATGACCTTAGTCTCTTTGTACCATGGTTTCCCCAAATATCATCACACAGGACTGTCAGGGAGAATGGTATAGGACAATAGAAGTGAACACATTTTGGAAGTTTTATGTGGATTGGATATTTTGCCCAGGTTTGGCCTCTGCTGACTCGTTGTAAATTGGCTATAATCTTTTCTCCTTGGCTTAAGTTTTCATGAAAACCCCCTGGGGTTACGGGTAGTCTGGCACTTATTGGACCATCAGTTTAAATGAATTAAAACCCAGGCTTGCAGAGGGCTGCTTTTAGGCTGGGCCTTCAGTGTTCCTTGCCCTGGTTTCAGTAACCTACAGCGGAGTTTCAGGGTGATCTTTCTTTGATCTTCTTCCCTATGTCATTCACTAAGCCACTTGAGACCCACAAGCAGGAGAGTTTCATTGGAAGACAGGCATTGCAACTGGGGGGAGGGAAAAATAAAAATCCTTTGACACTAACCTTGTTAAGTGTCTACTCAACTCATGAACTTCCATTTCAGTGCTTTTAAATTCATTAAGCTCCTTTCGGATGGCAGCCTGGAATAAAGAGAAAGTCATACACATGTGCAAGAAGGAAAGAAAAAGAAACTCATTTTTTATTTCATCTCTAACAATATTTTTTTTCTTCAACGAAGCCAGACAAGTTTAAAATTGCTTCTTTTATTGGGAGGAAGAAAATATCACCTATGATATCCTTTAGTAGAAAAACTCCCCCTTTCCTAAATCTAATTGCAAATGATTACAGGATACTGTCCAAAGTGTCTTTTTCTTTCTCTTCACAGAGCTGTTCCATCCAAGCATCAACAGTGCGTGAATGCCAACCCCACACTCCTGGGGGCCAAAGCACACAGTTCAGCGCAGCCTCTCATCTTCCTTAGGTCATAGTGCTCAGCACAGGCACAGGGGTGCTCAAGATGGATACTTCCGGAAGGGGTGGATCAAATTCCCCACCCAAATTAAGGGAATAGGCGATGGCCAGCTCCTTCCTTTCTCTTGCTCTTTTACAGTGTTATGGACTCCATGGTGATATATTTCACCACGTGGGATATGTTTTGAATAACTTTACGTATTCTGAGATCATCCTGAAGAAGCCCATCCTACAATACTACACATGTGGGGCAGAGCTGGGTGATCAGCCAGCAATGAGCAGTAATGAGAAAGCAGGGGAGGATAAGGTGCCAATGGAGAAGAACGCTGGGCATGGAGACAACCTCTCTGCTCCCACAGGGGTGGGAACTGCAAATACAGGCTCCTGTCTCCAACTCTGATACTTGGTTGGTGGGAGTATCAAGCCTTCAGGAACTTGAGGACAGAAAAGTCTTCAGGTAGAATCAGTAGCCCTCCCAAGGAAAGGAAGGCCTATTCTGGTTTAAGTGCCTGACTATCATCTTTGGGGGAGGGGATGGGACCATTCCTGTCTTCTGTCCCCAGCAGGCACTGGTGAACTGGCTATGTTTCCCACCTAAGAGCTGCCCGTGATACAAGTAGAGATTCTGCACATTTGCTAATACCCTCATCCTTGTAAGCATTCTGCAGCGAGAGTGTGAATAATAGAGAACAAGAGCCAATGCCCCTTCTCCTTTCATATATATATGTGTGTGTATGTGTATGTGTATGTGAGTGTGTGTGTGTGTGTCTGTGTGTGTGTGTATTTTTTTGAGTTGGGGTCTCACCCTGTTGCCAAGGTGCCATGGCGCACAGTGGCACAATCATGGCTCACTACAGCCTCGGTCTTCTGGGCTCAGGCGATCCATCCACCTCAGCCTTCCGTGTAGCTGGGACTGCAGGCACTTGCCACCATGCCCAGCTAATTTTTTTACTTACAGTAGAGACAAGGTCCCACTATGTTTCCCAGGCTGGTCTTGTACTTCTGGGCTCAAGGGAACCTCTTGTCTCAGCCTCCCAAAGTGTTGGTTACAGGCTTGAGCCACTGTGCTCAGTCTCCTCTCACCTTGAGGAGACACACTTCTGGGTGGCTGGTTTGTCTGTCTTGTGCACGGCAGTGCCAATTCCTGGGGTCAGGTGCCATAAGCTCCTGCACAGCAAAGCTACAGATGCTGTATTTACAGAGGAGGACATAGCCTTTTATGCACTTTGATATGTGGACTGACCCAGCACAGGATGGGCCGTTTTGGGGAGAAGTCTCTGCTTCTGACTATTTCAGTCCCACCCCAGTGCAGCAGCATCCCTGCATGCATGTTTCCTGCAACGTCTTGATCCATGGTTGGTGATAATCTGCCAGTCTGGGCTGTAGATGACTTACTGCTGTATTACATGTAAGAAAATCATGGGTCCTGGTGTGGATGGGGTGAAGGCAGGACTCTCTTGGCCCCAGCATTTCCCAGTTTCTACTGTAATGTAAGTATTGGGCATAATCATTATTCTAGACTGTATTTTTAAAAAGGCTTTCAGAGCCAGGCTTGGTGGCTCAGCCTGTAATCCCGTGCTTTTGGGAGGCTGAGGTGAGTGGATTGCCTGAGCCCGCGGGTTCGAGACCCACCTGGGCAGCGAGACCTCATCTCTACAATAAATAAAAAAATCAGCCGGGCGTGGTAGCGCATGCCTGTAATTCCAGCTACTCGGAAGGCTGAGGCGGAAGGATCGCCAGAGCCCAGCAGGCGAGGCTGCGGTGGCCGAGAGCAGCCACTGCACTCCAGTCTGGGTGACAGAGTGAGACTCCAACTCAAAATAAATAAATAAATAAAATAAAATAAAATAAAAAGGCTTTCGGTTCTCCAGGTGCTCATAGTGACTGGACTAGCATTAGATAGGATTACCAAACAGAGGTTTATTTTGATATATGGTCTAATGGGCAGATAAGAATGATTTCTCATTAGCACTACTGCATTTTTTATAAAACAAACTCACCTCAAATTATTATTTTTCTTTCTGGTTCCTAAATTGATGTGGGACTAGTACAGTGAGATATGCTTTGCAAAGTCTCTGTAATCTGTGCCCTATTTCTCTCATTAGGTTACAAGAAAGGAAAACACAGCTACTTGGTCTTGTTTTGGTTTTGTGAGTCGCCTGTTGGGAGCTGATGACAGTGTTCCCTGCATGGAAGGTCTGTGGTAAGCCTGGAGCCTTGTGCCCTTGAACTGCCTGTGTCTGTTCCAGGGACATTCTGTGTCTCTGAGCACTGCCTCCCAGGCTGCCCTTCCGCCTCCTGCAAAGCGGGCACAGTATGACCTGTCTTGTGCCTTCTCTGGAGCCCTGGGGTCAAGATGCCGGAAAAAGCCGACTCCGTCATGGAGACGGGCTGGGGCCTTGCGGCTGGTCTCCTCACAGGCTCCCGGTGGCAAGCCAAGTGGGAAAGCCAAGGGAGGACCTGCTTCCCACTCTCAACGAGGCGTTCTCTGCCCTCTGCCTGCCCCCCTGCTCACTTTGTCAGCAGCGGTGAGGCGGGTCCAAGGCTTGTCTGCCCTGCGGTCATAGTCCTGAGCGTCGGCCACCTCCACATAGTCACTGAAGCGGATGAGGATCTTCCTTTCTCGAAGTTCTTCCACCGTGGGCCTTTGACTGAGCTACAGGGAGGGAGCAAGATGCACCCAGTCAGCCAAAGAGGTTTCAACTACTTGGTTTTGTCTGTAAATTTGTGGCTGTGGAAAAGAAGGTCCACAGAGGCAACTAACATATCACATAGCAAAGGAGGAGCAGGGCTGGGTGGGGACCCGGGGTTCCTGACTTCCAGAACAGGGACCTTTTCAGGATCTAAGATAGAGCTTTGCTATCCCTTGCAATTTTCCTGTAGGCCTTTAGGGTGGACAGTCCCTTTCTCCATCACATTGCTGTAACTCACTCTTCATACCAAGCAGTCTTTCTGTGTGGCTGTGGATGCCTGTTGTGGGTTTTTCTATGTCTGTCCTACTCCCCTCAGGTGGCAGGGACCTTATACAACTATTTTATTTTGGATTTGTGAGTCCACATCTGTGTGTCACATTGAGTGCTTTCTGCAAGATAGGTTTGTAGTACATTGTGTGTGTTTTAGATAAAAGAAATTGTATGTGTCAACACTGGAGTTTGCAGAGATGGGAGTATGTTGGCTTATGAGGTCAGAGCAAATGCTGCTGACGGCCTTCTCAAGAAGTTCAAGGGGAAAAGTCAGTCAACAAATGCAGAGCTGAATGAGTACAGGGTAAGACTGCATTTGTGCCAAGGAGGACTCAGGACTGGCCTCTTTGGAAGGCTCTGCAGTGAAGAACTGCAGTAATGAGGGTTGAAACAAATAAAAGGAGGGTTCATATTTATTTCGCCATCTCCTGATACTACCCAGGAGCATCCTTCCACTATACTTTAACAACATAAGGCTGACATTTCTATTATCTCTTCTTGCCACCAGGTTTATTTCTCCTAGAGCGACACCGCTGCTGTCTTTCAGACGCTGTCAATTGACGTTCAGCCAATGTCATTTAAAAGCAATTTTCCCTCCAAGTCTTAGACTATGTTTAATTCTATTAATAGAAGATGTAGTCTGATAGAATCTTTCCACTCGGGCCTATAAAACAAACACAACTGAGTCCAAACTACCCTGGCTGTTCTGACTATGTATCATGCAGCTTCCAGACACCTGGGGCTGGCGCTAGAATAGGCCAACTTGCTGCCACACTGGCAGAGCACAATGAGATGACTGCTGTGGGTGTCGAACAGAGTGGCGACAGGCACTGCCAGACTCTGGACGGGATCAAGGCAGGCCTGCAACTCCCTCTCGACCAAGGGTGAGAAGCTCTGGGGATCAGAGGTTCAGTGGGCTGTGATATCAAGCCTACTTGTCTAGACT